ATGCGATAGTCTGGGAAGTGGGTCAAGTCCACTGGCTGTAGGAACGGCGCTGCGGGACTAATGTTCCCTTCCTTATACTTGATCAACTTCATCAACAACGAGAGACACGCCGTCACCTGCGAATCCGACATTTTAGCTCCAGAAGAGTGAGTCGGAGTCAGTTCTCGCTTCACCACTAAGTTGCTACTCGGAGGAGCAACTGAAACACTCGGCGCTGGCGGCGCGACGCCACTACTGGGAGCTGCAGACACTACATCCTTTGTTGCTGCACTTGAAGACGAAGCAGCTGCACTTTCCTGCTCACTGCGGTGAGATTTCTTCTTGCTGTCGCCACTGCTGGAGCTCGAATGTCTGTGTTCTCTGTCTTTATCTCGGTCCTTGTTCTTCTTCTTGGATTTCTTGGACTTTTTCTCCTTCTTGCTGTGTTTGTGCTTGTATTTACTGCCTTCCTCTCCGTCATCTCGATGGCGGTGATGGCTGCTACTGCTGCTGTGGTGGCTACTGCTGTGGTGGCGGTGCGAAGATGAGGAAGACGCGCCCAGTGCGCCTTCCCCGTCCTGCCTTGCGACGTCACCGCCCTCAGTCCTCCGTTTCTCCTCTTTCGCCTCTCGATGCGCCGCTTTGGCTGCTGCCACAGCCGCGTCATCCGCTCTGAAGACGTTATCGACAGCTTTAGCGTATGCCGTCTCGAAAACCCGCAGTAGATGCTGAGCTGCCGCGTACACGGATCCCTTGACGTCCTGGTCGTCCTTATTGTATACAAGCGCATTCTGAAAGACTAGACGTACGTCTCTAGCAAATTTTTCATGCGACTTGAAGCGACAGCGTGAGGGTTTGCTGCCAAGGTTCTTCTTGATCGTTCCCAAGTCCATGGGTTTCTTAATCACCTGGTCGTAGCCAGGGATGTTCACGGGCGTCATGAACACCCATGACCAGCTCTCCTGCACACGAGGGTTCGTCAGCAGCTCCAGTAACCGCACGCATTCGGCGTGTGCCGTCTCCGAGATCATGGCCAACAAGACGTGACAATCACTCCTGTTCTTCTCTCGGAGAAGGCAGATTCCATAATAATAAACCGCGCAGTGAAAATAGATTTTCGTCCAATCAGAGATGAGAATGAATTCCCATACACACACTTTATCAAGACCCCGACAAGTATGGCATCGGCTGGGGGTGAGCGCTTGTCGAGCAGCGACTTCAAGAAGAAGCGCGAGATTGAGGAGGCGCGCAAGAACGGCACACTGCCCCCTGAGCAGGATGCGGACGGCAACCTTATTAACCCGCACAACCCCGAGTACATTAGCAAACGACCGTGGTATCTGGGCGACTCGGGGCCGTCGCTTAAGCATCAAACGCTGCAGCATCAGGCGCATCTACTGTCCATCCACGAGGCCGATGAACTTTACCTTAAGGGCAGGAAACAGCAGGCTGCGGCATCGAGTGCTGGACGACAACGTAAGTGGCGCAAAGGTGCATGTAAGAACTGCGGCGCCATGAGCCACAAGACCAACGAGTGCGTCGAGCGGCCACGCAAAGTTGGCGCCTGGAAGACCAATAAGGATCTCAAAAGCGACGATATGGTCGTGGACGTACGCTCCGAGAAGTTCGGCAAGCTCGCGTTCGACGCCAAGCGCGATCAGTGGCTGGGCTACGACCCTAAGGACCACTCCAAGACCGTCGAACGGTACGAGAAGGTGGACGCCGCTCGCAAGAAATTGCGTGCCGAAGAGATCAATAAAAAACTGAAGGAATCCGCAGATAAGAAGAAGGAGAAGAAAACACGGACGAAGGCTAAAGACAAAGAAGGAGGCAAGTCCAACTCAGACTCGGACTCGGACTATGAGTCCGACATGGAGTCAGAGGACGAAGAATTCCGTGATCATGATGAAGGACCCATGTTTACCGAGCGTGTAGCGCGTCAGGGGGGAGTTGGAGGTGCTCAGATGAAGACGACGGTGCGCAATCTGCGTATCCGAGAGGACACAGCTAAGTACTTGCGCAACTTGAACCCGAATTCTGCCTACTACGACCCGAAGACGCGCTCTATGCGCGACAATCCCAATCCAGAGCTGAATCCTGAAGACACGACGTTCGTTGGCGACAACATGACCCGCTTCACGGGCGACGCACAGAAGTTAGCGTCTGCACAGCTGTTCGCATGGGAAGCTTACTCCAAGGGCACAGACATCCACCCCATAGCGAATCCCTCCCAGGCTGAGTTTTTGAAGAAACAGTATGAAGAGAGGAAGGCTGCGTTGGAGAAGGAGAAGAGCCGTAAGATTCTCGATAAATACGGCGGTCAGGAATACCTGGAAGCGCCACCCAAGGAGCTTCTGTTGGCTCAGAGCGAGCACTACGTCGAGTACTCACGTGACGGCCGTGTGGTTAAAGGCCGTGAACGAGCTCCTGTACGCTCCAAGTACGTCGAGGACGCGTTCGAGAACAACCACACTAGCATTTGGGGCTCTTGGTTTGATCGGACTGAGATGGCATGGGGATATGCCTGCTGTCACTCGAAGGTGCGTAAGTCTTATTGCACAGGTGAAGACGGGAAGAAGGCGATTGAGGAATCCAAGACAACAAAAACAGAGCGAGCGATGTTGAAAATCCCAGAGAAGAGCGAGACTGATGGATCAGTTGCTACTCAGGCTGGTGGTGTCATCAGTAAGCGCAGCGAAATGTATGGCGAGAATATCGCTCCTGAGCTGGATGAAATGAAACTCAAGAAGGCCATTAAGAAGGCAGCCAAAGAGAAGAAGAAGCAAGCGGAACAGGACGACAAGAAGCGCAAGTATAATTCTATGGGCAACTACGAGGTCAACGCGGAGGAGATGGAGGCGTATAAGTTACTTAAGACCCGCGGTGAAGACCCGATGGCCAACGTTCTTGGCAACGATGTACTGCTTGACGAAGAGCAAGACAACGGGAAACGTGCAAGGCGCTAATACTAGCATTAAAACACGCAACTCGGCGTGATGGTTAAGTTGCGCGGGGTACGATATCCCATCAATAGTAGCAAGCCTTTTGGAACAGAGGGCATCGTCTAAGGGAAGAGTTGGTCCAGGATCTGGATGGTCTCCTCCGGGTTCTTGACCGCGTGGCCGACAGTGCGCTCGCTCGTGTAGATCTCAAAGTCGTTGCCGCCCTGCAACACGACAGATAGGATTAGTCAAAGTACTTGACCATAGGAATTGCACTGAATTAGCCTACCTTGTGGGTCTTGTCACCGAAGAAGTGGATCTCATCGTAGTCCTTCGCGTCCAGGTAACGCAGGCAGAAGGTCTTGTCCCAGCCCTGTAATGATGCACAAATCGCTCCAGTGAGTCAGTGATGGTCGTATAATAGACGAACGCAGCCAGTCTTACCTGCGGGAACACATCGAACGAGATCTACGATCGATAATGACAAGAAATTACCAGATACATCATTAGATTCGACAATCACAAGCACAACCAACGCATTTCGTACCTGTCCGCCGATAGAGAAGGTCAGGTTGTACTCGGGGAATTCGGCACGGAGCTTCCCCACGAACGTCTCACGGATCTTGTGGATGTGGTCATACTTTTCAAATTCGTCACGCTCTTCCTGCGAGCAGTTGCGACCAATAGGCGACACGTTGATCATTCCCATACGGAACTCCACGAACGTGCCGCGCTTAACGGGGATGTCCAAGTCCGCGATGTAGCGCAGGCAGAAGTTGACCAGCTTGTTGATCTGCGGGTTCGTGTACTGACTCTTGAGGTTCTGTAGACGACACCACAGCGATCAGTCCTGAATTACAATCAGTGAACCAGCCAGTAGGTCTTCGCACTCACCGTCTCACCTACGAGCTTTCCGTTGTGGTATGCCACCAGCCCGTTCTCCGAGAAACTGTAGTCGAAGTTATGGATCACTGCAGGTCACACGTCAGCCTCAAAGTGATGCAGTCAACCAGGAAGTCTCTGTAGTTCTACGCACCGTCCTCGCCGAGCTGCTCCTTCTGCTTCACCAGGTCGGAGCCGCCCACAACACCAATCGTGATGCTTTCACGCAACTTCTTGAGGCGCGCCAGCATCTCGGGCGTCGCGGTCTTGCGCGCCACCGTGAGCGTGCCATCCACGTCGAAGAGGGCGATAATGCGGGGGTTCTTGGGGGCCATCGGAGCTGCTCGGATAGTGAGGGAATGAAAATACACGTGTCCGTTTGGTTGCTTACGTCGTTCAATTGCAAGGATCGTTTTGGTGTATCGAAATAATCAGTACTTTCGAAATAACCACAGTGAATGCGTGGGATCAAGTGTTATCTTCCATAGTACTCTTCATACTGATCCATGATTGGTCAGAATATGTTTACTTTCAATATCCTCTTAAGCTATCTCAATACTCATCAAAACAAGTTGAAGTTCTTGCCACTTTTGTCACAAGGTGCTTATTCTGGCAGGTGAATTGCAAGTGTTTATGAAGCCTTCCTTTTCTCCGAATCGCGTGACGATCGATGCAAACAGCGGGCGGCCGCGCTTCGATGACGATGGAGACGTGGTACTGCGTGCGCTGTCGCTCTCGCCCGGCGTCAGCAGACGCCCATTCGATGCCACGCCGACGACTTCATCTTGTTCCGGACTGCACCTGCTGCTCCAGGGCTTCGTCCACGCCGTTTTATCCGGTGTCGTCGTCTCTATTGGTACGGAGATGTTGTGTAATCCTGCTAACTATCTAATACTGGCGCACTGCGCTCCTTGTGCTGGCTAGTGCTGTGCCCTGTTATGATTGGCTTCGCGACCATGATCTTCAGTCACCCAGACTTCTCGGGCACCCTCCCCATGCTCACTAAGCTCGTCTTCGCTTCCAGTACAATGCACCAACTCGTGATCACAAGTCTCTCTCCTCTACCCTTCGCCATTGGTCAAGTACAAGACACAGGGATGATCTTTCTGGGCAGTATGGCCTCGTCCATTATGACGGAACTCTCGGCTGTACCGCTGACAGAGCGGATCGCCACTGTCCTGGTTCATCTGAGTATCAGCACAATGTTAGTGGGTGTTGGACTCATCCTAACAGGAAAAGCGCGCCTGGCTTCACTTGTCCAGTACCTTCCGACTCCCGTTATCGGCGGATACTTAGCTTACGTGGGCTTCTTTATGGTGAAAGGTGGCATTTCTCTTACTACCGGCGTGAGTCTTGCCTCTGTACATGGCTGGGGTGTGCTTCTGAGTTCTCCCCGCAGCTTGATACTACTAGCTCCGGGTCTAATCGGTGGAATCATGTTGGCCATTCTTACCTCACGCTTTCGACACTTCGCTGTATTTCCCTGCTGTATTCTAGTACTCCCTGCAAGCTTCTTCTTCGTCGTTTGGATATCCAGTTACACTCTAAATGATGCACGTGCTGCGGGGTTTCTTGAAGATGATGCTGCTAGTGTTCCAGTGATGCAAGTGTACGAGTTGTTTGACTTCAACCACATCCACTGGAATGTCATGCCTGCTCAAGTCCCAACAATGCTCAGTATGTTCGTCATGATCGCGTTTGCTTCGTCGCTGGATATTGCCTCTATCTGTATGGGAACCACCAGCAGTATGAACTACAACGCGCAGCTACAGACAGTGGGCATGTCCAACCTTGTAAGTGGACTCACAGGCGGGTATACGGGCTCATATATCTTCAGTCAGACGTTGTTTACTTCCCGTTTTCGACCGAGTGCAGCGGCTGAGTCACGTTTTCCTGGAATCACAAGGTTAGTTGGAGTTACTCTCGCTCTCTGTGAGTTCTCCATTGTTATGACTCCCATCTCTTTGATGGCAATTGTGCCCAAGTTCCTGTTTGGCGCTGTCATGATATTTATTGGTATCGACTTGCTCAAGACTTGGCTCTTGGGTGTTTTCCACAAGCTTCTTTTCGCTGAATACCTGACTGTGGTTGGTACTTTTTGCTGTTTGAACATTTTTGGGGTTCAACTGGGATTGGCCACGGGCATTACGCTCGCAGCAGCGAGTTTCCTCGTGGAGTACGCAAAGGCTCAAGACGTTCGAATTGTACACAAAACTAGCAACGTTATCCGCAATGCAGACCAGCATGCATTGCTTTATGGTGCGAGTTCAGTGTCCGGCGACGCTGATCGTAGCGAGTCTCGACAGCAGGATGCGATTGTTACCATTGAGTTACAAGGTCATATCTTCTTTGGATCGGCCACTCGGATTCAAAACTGCGTCAAAAGTGCAGTTTACATTCGATCAGAGGGTAGAGAGAACGCTGCTAGATCCGCTAGTATGGGGCAAATTCACGCGAGCGAGGAGACTGAGACTTGGCCACTGTTATCTGTTAGACGAGAGCCAAGATCTGGATATGCAACCGACGCCCATGTCTCGGTGCCATCTCCTCTTGTGAATCTCCATGGAGAACCATGTACTGACCCTGACAGGAAACCTACGAGGTTTGTTGTTCTGGATTTCTCTCGAGTAAGTGGGATGGATGCGACTGCGGCGCGTTCGTGTTTCTTGGTGCTCAAGCTTTCATTCAGTCTTAGTAAAGTTTGTGCGGTGTACTGCGGGATGAGACCCAGCGTCGAATTTCTTCTGAGAGCCAACGATGTCATTCCCGATGCTCAAACACAAGAAGAGGTCATCCAAGTCGAGACCAGGCAGAGAGAATGCTACGTCGCATCGGACTTGGATCTAGCACTCGATTGGTGTGAGCAACAGCTTATCCTGTCAGCAGCAAAATGGCGTTCAATTCGTTCAGGACAGCACTTAATTCTATCGTCATTAAAGTCATCCGCTCTGCCACTAGCACAAGTTTTTGCGGCGTACTTGTCGGATACTCGAAAAGGCGATCCAGCGACGCTACAACACTTGGAAGAACTTGCTCAGTTATTCAATGTGAGTGAATGGGAAACTCAGAAGAATCTTTTCCAGGTCGGTGAGAGATCCAACGCGTGGTTTGTATTGCTGCGAGGAACGGTCGAATTACTGACAATTCCAACGGAGGCTACACTGGCGTCTTACTCTCCAAAATCTGAGCAGGCAGAGCCCACCAGGTTTCAGGACTCATTCAATACTTTAAACAACCACAAAAACCAGCCGTCCACCCAGAGGGAACTCGTGGGACGTGTCCGACCTGGCTGTATCTTTGGAGACATGGATTTTATGCTGGAGCAGCCGCGTGTAATGGACGCCACATCCACCGCAGCGGACACGCTTACCTGTTCATTCACACGGAAGGAGATGGTCGAGTTACGTGATAATCACCCCGAGTTGGCTCTACTTCTTCATGAAATTCTGTTGAGAGCCTCGTACATGACTTTGGCGGAGAAACTTCATTCGCTTGCTATTTAAGTTTGTTTTTTTACTTGCGGTGACGTCGGCGGTGAAGAATTTCGAGAACCTACCAGAAAATGTTACGAATGTTAGTACGGCACACATTGTCCGAGCAGTGGATAAATAACTTACCCCATCCGAACCTACAGCATCTTCTAGTTGGTTTTCCATTTCCGATCGCATCAAGGCCGATTTCAGAACACTGCAAACGTGTTCCTCGACTTCTTCCACTCGTTTATCCTTTGATTTTCTTTGCAGATCGAAGATAGTTCTATTGGAAGCTGAACGTGATCCCAGTCGACTTGGTGGCGCATGAGATACTCGACAAGGAGATTGGTGTGCGACCGATTCCAGACAAGCCGCAGCAGACG